ACACTTCAGTTATATCTATTTATTTCATTGTTTGCCATTTTTAAAGTGTATTATAATATAATAAAAAAAGATACGAAAGAAAAACAATGGCAACAACAAAAAGTCCGAATGAAACTTTTAATATGGATGATTTTGACGCACTTTTAGCTGCACTTAGTCCTGAAGATCTTGAAAAAGTTAATGATCTTATTGATCCTGAAGTATGCTATTTATCAATGGATGTATTTGTCATTTGTTTTTTCTCTCTATTAAATTAATTTTTAGAATTCATGGTTACCAGCAAGTGAACGTTGTAAACCACAAACTGCAAAATCCCCAACGGGTCCATATGATCGTTCAAAACTTCTTGATTTTCTTACTGAACAAGGAAAAAATGAAAAAGATTGGGATCACTATAAATCATATGTACCAGGTGAAAAAAAAGGTAAAGTTTGGCAACCACCATCTGTTACAAAACCAACACAAGAAGATGATGAATTTTTGGTTACAACTGAATGGGATGATGTATTAACAAATGCAAGTGAATCAGAAATTGTTGAACTTGCTGGTTTGTTATTAAAATTTAATAAATTATATAGATTTTATTTCTTTTCTATTTTTGTTTTTAAAGCTATACTTGGCTTTACAGGTTTAATTAATCAAGTGCAATATCATGCAGCATTAACCGATAAAGGTTTACCATCAAGTGTTGGTGGATGGAATGGTAATACTAATACTAAAATTGAATAATTTAATTTTTGGTTTTGTTTTTTACTTAATTAGCTGCAGCTAAAAGTGAACCATTAAAAATTCTTCCACCTGAACCTGACAATACAACTGATGTTGAAGATTGTATAAGAAAAGCTAAAGCTAATGATAAAGACTTCACACGTATTAATATAAATAATGTCAAAGAAGTTAAAGCAGATGTTCTTAAAGAATTACTTAATTCATTAAAAGATAATACAAATGTACAAACTCTTGAAATGGCAAATGTTGGTATGACAGATAGTGTTGGCCGAGTATGTTTTTTTACATAAACATATTTAGTTCTGTTATTCGTAAAAAAAAAATATTTAATTAGGTTCTTGCCGAACTTCTTGAAGCTAATTCAACATTAAAAATTGTTAATGCTGAATCAAATCGTTTAACAGGATTAATTGTTAGTGAAATAGTACGAGGTACTTTAAAAAATCAAACATTACTGGAATTACGTTTATCAAATCAAGTAAATATAAATATGCTGTTTGTTTCTTTTGTCTACCAGATGTTGTTTAGTTAGGCGAAAACAAAAAGAACTAAGAAGACGAAGAAGAATATAATATTATATTGACATTGACATAGGAAATAATAGATTGATTACTGAATAATCTATGCAGAACTTTTAATACAGAAGGAAAGGTCATGCGCAAATACTGGTTGTCGAATTTTCATATGACATTTTGTTTAACGATAAAAAATTTTCTAACATAAAATTCGCTGTTGTATTTGAACTTTATGTATAAGGTAGATTGTAATGAGGTATCAAGAGCTGTACAAAAAATAATGTCTTCCTATAATCAGTTGAGAATTTCTGAAGTAGACCTTTTTGCCCTCAGGGTTCTACAAATATCATATCTATTAGATTCCTCAAACGATGAATATGTGATCTTTCTATATGTAGTGCGTAAATAAAAAAGAGACTCGTTTACTTATCAATTGCTTGTTGAACTGTAAATCTTGAATTATCTATAAAAGATTTTCCAATTTGTTCAGTTACAATTCTGTAGGATGACATGTACCAAACAATCAAATGATGATATATTATGCATAGTTATAAATAGAGTATTCCGAATATTTCAGCTCAAGAGAATTTCATATGATTTCTTGGGAATTCAATAATATTCATTTGCACTGGAATTCTCAGGACATTCTAGTTATGTCTATGAGCAAAATATTATCATTCGATTGTTGTGCCCGTACCGTGCTATAGAGAAGTTTAATACACTTTTATCTCTTTTGGGAGTTTCAAGACCTCATTTAGCTCTATCTTATGCATAGAATCCTAACTGAAAATCTATTTTCAAGTGTATTGTAAAATACTTATTTTGTTCCTATGAATTAACAATGGTAAAATGAATAAGAATGATCTTCATATATATATATATATATTCAGAACTGAATGGAATATAAAAGTTCTATCGGCATTCATTAAAAATTTCTAATATTTTTCTTTATAATAAATTCTAGTGAACTTAATATGCAAGACAGGTATCATTGTCATGTTATGAATTCAAACAATTATTTTCATAAAAGATCAGGATATCCGGATTTTTGAGCATGCAAGCAAGCAACCATTTATATTTGCTATAAATTTCCAAAAAATTCAGTTATTTATAAGATGTGTTAGTAATTTTTTTCATTCATCAGTATCCTTATACTAACCCAGTAATAACTCTTGAAGAAAAAATATGCATGAGAATATATGCTTTTTGGCTTCTATAAGCTTGGAAAAGGAAAAATGCTTAAAAAACATGTCTTGATTAATCTTACAAGCGAAGTTCCTCAACTCGATGAATTGTTTTGAAGTCATGACTATGTGTATCATGTAAACCCTAATAGTCATAAGTAAGTGACATTGAAAAAGTGTTTACATGAGATAAACAGTAGCATTTGATCGATATATTCTAGTTTAAATTATGAAATACTCTACTGATTTTCTGTTCATTGACACATACAACTTCCAGCCTAATCTACATTCTAACGAAACTACGATCTAAAAAGGTTGAGAATTCGGAAACTGTTAAAAGATCTGACAAACCTGTTTCTTACAGAATAATTGATTTGCTAAAAGAAGAATACCAAATCTACCGATATGTATGCGCGATATAAAACACAGGACAACAACAAAAAGAGTTGAAACCGAAAATTTGTTTCCCTATTAGGGGGCTATTGTATTCCTACAGTAATAAACTAATAGTCTAAAGTATTTCCTAGGTATTCATTAGGAATTCTATGATGTACATAATTCTAACTTAAAAACAATTCATCAATCAAGAAACTTATCTTGTCGGATGAGACTTGAAGGCAGGCAGCATGTAAAACAATTGAAAAATAACTTGGAATAAAAATTTCTAAATGAAATAAGTAACATTGAAAAAGAGTATTATTTTAATTCTCTTGAGTAATGTATAAATCATATTAATAATATCTTTTAATAATTTATTTTAGCGTTCACAAATATTGGGTAATCGAGTTGAAATGGAAATAGCTGATGCAATATCTCAAAATAATACACTTCTTCGTTTAAATTTACAATTTGATACACTTGGACCACGTGTTCGTGTTACAGAAAAACTTAAACAAAATTTAGATGCTTGTAAGAAATCCTTAAAAAAAAGCAAAAACTAACATTTTATTTAAATAAACTCTTTTTTTTTTTTTAGTACGTAAAAAACGTTTAAGCAATAAACAATAAACGAATTGAAATAAAAAAAAGAAACAAAACTACTTACACATATCTCTTCACTATCCTAATGGTTTTCTTCTTTTTTTTTGCACTGGCAATCTCATTATCCTTGTTTGTTTGTTTTTCTTTCTTTTTATTCAAAAATGGTGCTGATTATGATTCGTATTTTCTTTTTTTTTTTCGCATGATAATAATGAACAAAAAAAGAATCGTCTAGTCGACACCATCAACGAAAAATTCATTATAACTCCTTACCGAAAATGTTTTTCTTTTGTTTTTGTTTTACCTTTATGAATTAAGATCCTTTTTTTTAAACATGCAAAATATTTGTATGTATATTAGTCATTTATTTGTAATCCCTCCTGTTTTGGTCTGATTTCGTTTTTTTTTTCTCTGTCGTAGAACTTATTTAGTCAACCTAAATAAAGTTAATTATGTAGCTTGACTTTTTTTTTTCTTTCTTTTTTTTTCAGATAATTTGTTTTTTTTTTCATCGGCGGAACTCTTATTGTTAAAAATGAACAATAATTGATCAAGAAAATTGCAAAGAACTATGTCATTCTTAGTACACACTGGCTTAAAATAAGTATTGTTCTGTTTAGAAAAGAACAATTATTTCTATGCATGCGCGTTTCATGAGTTTTCTCTTGTGAATAGATAAGTTAGGTTTTTGAGGATATACTTGGTAGAATTAGTAGGATTGAGTAGGTGACAAGATATTGCTCATGTATACATTATTGATTGAGTGTAAACAGTTCTGAATGAAGAAGTTTTTAATTAGATGTTAACAAGTTTTCACGAGATATGTCGAGAACATATCTGTTTTGGAAAAATATGTCAAGTGGATATCTGCTTACACCTCCGTAATCTTGACTCATCACTATGAGATAGAATTCATTTGAAACTTTCCTGAGTTATTTCTCTTTTATAAAGCTGTTGAATAATGTGTGACACAATGTAAGAAACTCGATTCTAGTTTTGTTGTTGTTATGTAATCAAACTTAATGATGAAAATCTGGTATAACTCTTTTATCCTTATCTATAGAATTATCAAAATGTAACAATTAAATCTTATTCTAAATCAACAAAATAAACGACATATTCCGATTGTATTAATCGCTCTGTTCTTTCTGCGTGACTTTTTTTAACAATATAGTCTTATGTTTCAAAACGATTTACTTGTTAGATTTTTCTTTTCTTGTATGTCTCTTATTTCTCCATTTAAATGTTCATTAATTGCAGTGTACAGTAGAGCCCGTCGAGTTGATGCTGGACTTGACTATCTCGAGGCGTCTGAGAAATGTGTAGGGTGTGCTCGTCATCGAATACAAAAGTCTGAAAAAGAAGTATCTCATATCTCGGAAATGACTATCCAATTATGATTATAAAATTTCATTGACAATATCAAAGTACGGTTCGACCGGATGGGCTCTACTGTATGTAAAAGAATCTAAAACTCAACAATTATTGTAAAAGAAAAAATAATTTCTCAAGAAAATTTTTCTTCAAATATCCTTTATATTATAAGAAACTATTTTTCTTTTTTTTAAATAATACTATAGAATTGTTTTAGATGAAACTTCGCCTATTATTATTTCATTTCCTATTAATTGTTCAAGTTGATTTACGTCGTTATAGTGATCAAAATGATAATGATAGTATATATGAATTAGATAATCTTTTAAATAATTATAATCATCATAAAAAATATCCAAATAAAGAATATATTCAAGATTTATCAAATGATGATCAAGATGATATTTCATCATTTCAACGTGAAAAAAAATATTCATCACGTAAAAAAGTTTCCGATGAAATTGATAATCGTGATGAAGAAGAAAAATCATTACATCATAATCATATATCAAAATCAAATAATCGATCAGAATTATCTAATAAATCTAATCGAATTACACAAACAACAACACAAAGTTATATTGAAGAAGCATCATTATGTATAAATGAATTTGATATTAAAACTGAACAATTAGTTAAAGTTAAAGAATTAAAAAATGGTGCACATATGATACGTTTTGTTCGTATTGATGAACCATCATCATCTCATGGTCTTGATATTAAAGATATTTGTATGTTAAATTGTTGTGTTGAAGAAAAATGTGATTTAGCTATGCTTAGTGAACAACGTACAAATGTAAGATAATGTTTTTTTTGTTGTTGTTGCTGTTGTATTCGAATATTTATTTCATAATTGTTTTATTTGATTTTAAAGGATGGTTATAAATGTTATTTGTTTGCTTGTAATGGCAGTTGTACATATGCACCACATCAAGAATATACTAGTATGATATTAAAAAAAGAATTATCGTCATACAATGATGATTCACAAGTAATAAATAAGCAATCAAAAACCAATGAAAAAGCATCAGCTGCATCATCATCAACACTTTGTAAGTGCTATAATATATTATTTTTGATGCATTAAATAAAAAAGAAAATAAATAATAATATTCGATTGATATATGTATGTAGCTACGACATGTCGAAGTATTGAATTTTCGTGTCGTGATGGAACTTGTATTCCATATTATGATGTTTGTAATTCATATGAAGATTGTCCATCGGGTGTTGATGAAGCGATGTGTACATCGGGTATATACATATATGTTGTCTATATTGTCGTGTTGTCATTGTGATTGTTGTTATTGTGATTGTTTCAATTCTTGTTTTTTTTTTGATCATCTTATTAGAATTTACTCTTCATCAACGTACACAACAAGAAAATCGAAAAAAACCATCAAATGATGTTGATAGTGATGTGAATAATGATATTGATGAAAATTTTGATGATGTATTAGATGAAGATCAATTAATAACAACAACAATAAAAAGTATAACGAAAATAACGAGTACAAAATCATCATTATCAAAAAGCAAATCAAAAAATCGTGAAGGCATGAGTTTAGATATTTTTGTTTCATTTCGTTTAAAAATGACATTAAAAATATTCTTTCAGGTGAAAAACAAGATAAAAATTTAACGTCATCATCATTTTTCTATAATATTGATCTTGATACACAAGAACGTGTGTCAAGATTACAAAAATTAAAAGAATATTTAGAAGAAACTAAAGGTCCTGAAGCATGGTATCATTTATTTCAAACATTAATTCAACATCAACAACAAGAACATACAAATTTAGATTCTGAACAAACTGGATCATTATCATCAAGTGATGATGATAATAACTTTCAAGATCATTTATTAGCTTTAGAACAACAATGGATAGCTGATCGACAAAAAACAACTGCTACGACAACAATAACAACAAAAAAACCAAAAATAATTCCGAAAAAAACAACAACAACAACAACGAAACGAACGAAAATTATTCATAACAATCCAAACTTACCACAACCATCAACTGTCATTGATGAAGAGTCAACTGATGAGGATGTTGATGATGGTGATGGATACTATTGGCGACCAGAATTTGATGATCGTTATAATTATCAATCAAAAAGTAAGACTACAGCAACAACAAGAAAAACAAAAATGAAATATCCATCAATAAATCGAGATAGTAGTACTATGACAACATTATTAAGAGGTAGTTTGATATTGTTTTCGCTTTTTTTTTTGTGTTGTCGCTGATATTCGCTTTTAATTAATTGGTTTCAATTGTGCTTTATTTGTTAAAACAAAAGAAAAAGAAAAACATCAGAAAATAATCTTTTTTTTTTTTTCTTTTTTTTAGCTAACAGTATTGATTCAGACAATTATTCACATACAAGATCATTTTTACGTGAATCAAGTGTTATTTTACTTCTTTTACTTGGTCTTATATTTACAATTATTTTACTTGTCTTAGTCGGGTTCTATTGTCGAGATTCATGGAAACATGGTCGACTACTTAAAAATCGTTCAACAGACGCGGATTATTTAATTAATGGACTTTATCTTTAAAATAAAAAAAAACATTAGAATGATGTATTATTAACTTTTCTTGCTGTTGTTGTTATTGTTCAAAAGAATTAAAGTATTCAACAATTTCATTATTTCCTTGTTTTTGAATGCACAATTTTTATGTTAATTATTGACAAAAATTTTCAGCATGTATCAAATATATTTATGTATGTGTACATTGTGTGTCTCTTGAATCTCAACTATTTTACTGCAAAAAAAAAAAATTTTTCTTTGTTAGATACCAATGTGTCATTTGTCTCATTGTCATTTATTTTTTCTTTTGTTGTGTACCATTGTTGAATATGACATTATGTATAAATATATACATATATACTTCAAAAATAAAAAAAACTTTCTTTTGTTCACTTATATTGTTCTGCTATTTTTAGATTTTAGTGGTGAGTTAGGACGATAATTTTGATAAATAGATAATGGTTTATAAGTAATCATTCACTAACGAAATTGAAATTTTTTATAGATATTTCATTCTCTTGTAAATAGATAGATAAAAGAGTTTATGTCTGTATACTCCTCTTCGAACAGATTTCTATTCGGAGAAAAGAGAGTCGAACCACATTATAAAAGGAAATTTATATTTGAAATTCAGAATACATAATTCGATCTCAAGATAATGATATTATTTCCAGATTATTTATTTGTCATATTAAATTGCATCTATGAAGAATGTGATATTCATTTTGGTTCGAATTGAGGGACTATCAAAAATTGACTTCAACAGTCCTTGAATTCACAAATCAATCGTTAGTTTAAAATAAACGAATGACTTTTATGAGTTATTTTGAAAAATATTCGTATTTAAATTGTGTCTTATCAATTGTTTTTTTTTTTTGTATATAATTAATATATTTCATCAAAATTTAATATTGTTATCTAAGACAAGTCTATTATCTGTTATAGATGATTCGTCGACGTTTTTCTCGCCTATTATTCTTAGCTTTTTTTCTTATTATGGTCTTTATTCTATACTCAATGCTTCAATCGATTAATATGAATCGTAATGAACATCAGGTTAAAAAATAAATAAAAAATTTCGAAATTCTAATTTAGTTTATTTCTAATAGGTAACAGATGAGAAACATATTCATGAACGTCTTGATCATCTTCAAGAATCAATTCAAGATCTTGATAAGTCAATAAAAGGCGAAGATAAAAAACAAAGTGCACGACCTGTACCACCCCCACCAGTACCTTTAGCTGTATCAAAAACGGAACCTCCTGCAGAAAAACCAATTCCAATACCAAGTGAAACAGAAAAAGTTTCTAATACACTAAATCGATGTATATGGCGAAATTCTTCTCCAGTTAATACTACATTCGAAGTAAATTATTTATTTGTTGAATATCTAGAAAATCTTTTGTCTGTTTAATAAGATTCGTCAATTATATGATACTTTACCATTCGATGATGTAAAAGGTGGCGTATGGACACAAGGATTTGATATAACATATGATCCATCTCAATGGACATCAAATAATAAATTAAAAATAATTCTTATGCCTCATTCTCATTGTGATCCAGGTATTGAAAATAAATCTAAATCAGATTATGTTTTTCTAATTTTTATTTATTTAGGTTGGATTCATACATTTGAGGGATATTTTCAACATGCAACAAAATATATCATTGATAATGTCATAACAATACTTAATACAAATAAAAAATATAAATTTATCTGGGCTGAAATATCTTTTTTAAGTTTATGGTGGGATCAAGCATCATCCGATCAACGTCAACTATTAAAAAAAGTTATTAATAATAAACAACTTGAAATAGTTACTGGTGGTTGGGTAAGTAGAAACGGAAAGAAAATCTAGTCGAATCATTTTTGGAGTAACTATATCATAGTAAACTGTTTTTTTTGTTTGTTTGTTTTTTTTCTAAGGTAATGAATGATGAAGCTAATACACATTATTTTGCTATGGTTGATCAACTAATTGAAGGGCATCAATTTATTGAAAATAATTTAGGTTTTTAATTATATCAAATTTGTTTCTATATTGATTAAATTGATATTTATTTTAGGAAATATTTCGCTACAAAGTAGTTGGGCTAATGATCCATTTGGTTATTCACCAACTATGGCTTATTTACTTCATGGTATTGGTATACAATATATGGCTATACAGCGGTAAATATTTTAAAATTTATAAAAACAATTTCTTAATTATTTCTATTTAGAGTTCATTACCATATTAAAAAATCTTTAGCTAAAGACAAACAATTAGAATTTACTTGGCAACAAACTTGGGGTAAACAAAAACATAAACGAAACTTTAAAAAAAAGATTTTTATAAATACAAATTTTATAGATCGAAATAATTCTACAAGAATTTTCACACATGTGATGCCATTTTATTCCTATGATGTTCCACATACATGTGGTCCTGATCCAAAAATTTGTTGTCAATTTGATTTTAGACGAACAAGTGGTTCCGATGTTACTTGTCCATGGGGAATTAATGCTGTACTAATTACTGATGAAAATATTCGAGAACGGTAAATTTAAATGAGCTTTTTTTTTTTGGAACTCACATTAGGACTTATCTATTAATAGCTTATAATACATTTTAATTGTATCAACAGAGAACCATTGTTCTGAAGAGTCAGCCGTCATCTTCAGCTGATCGCCGGCTATAAGTGTTGTTCTCGCTCTCAATCTCTGTTAGGTACCTTTCTTCAGTTTAGTTTCTTTTTCGAAAGCTGCTGTAACGAAGGAGGAGAGAGCTGACTAACTGTCATTATATACATTTCCATAGTAACTGACGAGAACAGGACTCGTCAAAACCTTCCTCAAAATCTAAATGGTTAAAATATGTTTGTGAATGTTCTTAACTATCCAGCTTTTGAAATTAACATAAAAAGCGTGAATTGATGAAGTTATAACTTTAGAAAATAATCAATATCAATGTTTTTGAACTTATTGAAAGTTATAATAGTGCGTTAAGATCTGCTGTAGATGTAATAAATATGTACAGCAAGCTTATTTGCCAATAAAATCAAGAGTTAGAATAATAATAATAATATTAAATTAAGAAAAACAGAATACGAAAATTCAAAGCAAACAAAAAATAGAATTATTCTTGGAAAACAACTATAGTCTACTAGAGATTTTTTATTTAACTTAGTTTGTATTAGTACAATAAAGCTAATGAATACATGTGAGTTTTACTTATTTATAATATTTTTTCTTAGAGCTCAAACATTACTTGATCAATATCGAAAAAAATCTCAATTATATCGAACAAATGTATTATTTGTTCAATTAGGTGATGATTTTCGTTATGTAAAAATGGATGAAGCAACAAAACAATTTGAAAATTATGATAAATTATTTACATATATGAATCAACAAGCTGATTGGAATGTTGATGTAAGATTTATTTTTAGTTTTTTTTTATTGAATTAGATTCTTCATATTTGATAAAGAATATTAGGCTCAATTTGGTACGTTAAGTGATTATTTTGAACAACTTCTACAACAAAAATCTCAAACACAATTTCCAAGTTATATGGGAGATTTTTTTACATATGCCGATCGAGCTGATCATTATTGGAGTGGTTATTATACTTCAAGAGCCTTTTTCAAACGAATGGACCGTATTGTCGAATCTTATCTGAGGTAATTCTAAACAAAACAAAAAAAAAATAAGTTTCTGTTATTGTGTTAGACTTGCTTCTACTGAAACATTCGAGATTATCCTTCCAATATGTTACTTTTCTTCGAGTAATCAGAATTTCGATAAATTTCAAGTAGTTAATATCATGTGTAGGGCCAAGTTTTTTTTGTTCTCGATTCTGATGAAGATTTCAGTAAATTTTATGTAGCCTGTGCCGAAGTGCCGAGAATGAGTATCCAATAAGATCGAGGTTTTGAGAGACTTGAAAATGGAATAGAATGAAGCAATATATATATATATATTTCAAATTTTCGATTGTTTGTCACGTTCATCGTATGCATAGGAATCATTATTAATTTAATTTATTCTAGAGCAAGTGAAATTCTTTTTTCTATGGCTCATGCAAAAATGCTTGAACAAAAAACGACAAGTCAATTTCCAAAAGATAATCTTTTTGAAATGTTAGTTAAAGCACGACGAAATCTTGGTCTTTTTCAACATCATGATGGTATTACTGGTACAGCTAAAGATCATGTTGTGAATGATTATGGATTAAAGTAACTATATATATATAATTTTAATTAAAATTCTTTGTTTTTCTTTTCAATAGACTTCAAACAGCAATATCATCATCACAAAATGTTATGGAACAATCTGCTGCTTATCTTCTTTATCAAAATGATTTTAGAGCTGATACTGATCTCTTGTTATCAAATATACAATTTAAAACATTTGAATCGTTACCAACAAGAAAATTAATTTCATTCAATAATCAAGAACAAAAAATTAAGTAAATAATATTTATATAAATTTTTATCGTTTTCTTTTAATTATATTTTCTATAGAGTTATTTATATTTATAATCCAACTGATCAACGACGTACTCAAATTGTTAAAATTCTTATTGATACATATCAAGTTTATGTAACAAGTAATAATCAAGTAATAAATTCCTGCCAAATTGATCCAAAATGGACTGGAAGAAAATCAAATATGATAGAAAAAAATATGTTTGAAGTACGTGTTAAGACGAATGATTGGAATTTCGCTAATTGACGAAAGTAGACTTTCGCTAGCTGTCACAAAACTACATTAATATAGAATACATGCGAGCGTTGAAGCTAATGTTCTTAGAGTATATAAAATGCTGAAAAAAAGTTTAACTTATATACAAAATACATTGTTGCTATACGTGCTTCTACAAACTTATCTATATATATCATCGCTTACATTCAATCAATATTAATTTTGTGAAACACGATCTAAAAGGAGTGTCAAAGAACACGGGTAACATTCGGACTCTTCTCACCAGCATGACAGACATCCTTAGCAACGTTTCTCCTGCATCATAAACCGTGATA